ACCCAAGTTCATTGACTCTAAGACACAACTGACTATAAAACACACCACTATTTGATGTACCCTAGCAAGGGGAAAAAAAAAATACTGCACTTAAACTGAGAAATGACACTGATTCCAAGATGCATCCCAATTTCAGAAATGTGAAACAAAGGATTTCTTAGAATCAATAGAAATGGTAGTATTCTTCAAGCCAAATATGCCTCTTTTCTTTTCAGCATAGAAAATGACTTTCACTATTTTCAGCTCAGTCATAAAAAAGTTTTCTTCTGTATTATGTTCATTCCTACCTCTCTTTGTATACAACTGCTTAATACAAATGTCCAAAGATATAACTGATAAATCCCCATTTAATCTTTTCTCCCAAATATCTGACATTTCATTCAAAATAACCAAGCTACCAGAATAAAGAATAAGAAGGGTAGAAAAAGAAGAGGCTGCCAGCCAATGAGGGCAGATTCTAACTCTCAAAGAGCTGAGCCTCACAGTGCCCCCCCCACTCAAGGCAGGACACCTCCCAGGAGGAGAAAAGAGAGCTGAACCCATTCATTTGTCCTGAACTTGCTAACTGGATAAAACCCCCTCTCCCTAAGAAAGGAGGGAACAAAGGGTCAGAAACAGACCAAGAGCATACCTAGGAAGGACCTCTCCTTGTGGAAATCTATGTGTGNGGGGGGGGGGGGGGGGCAGGGTGGTGTTTCCTCCTAATAACTTGCCTTTGCAGTTAAAAACACATATTTGGTCTCTGCCCAAAGTTCCAGGCACATAAGCCCTTGTAATTTCCTGATCAACATGGTGCCAGGAATATCTTTGTTTACAATATTTGGTCTTGGACCCTGATTCCTGGCACACAGAAGTCCTAAATCTCTAGGAATTTCCTGGGTGATAGGAGCATCTTTTGTTCTAATGAGGGGGTTACTGGTGGGCTCCTGGGTAGCTCCTGGACGGGGGCTGTCACCAGAAAGGCCAAGCCAAGAACAGAAGATTGGACTTCCAGTTACATACCCACCCTCCATCTTCCAGGGAGGGGAGAAGAGCTAGAGACTAACACATTAATCATGCCTAGGAGATGAAGCCTCCATAAAAACCCATAGAGTACAGAGTTCACAAGCTTTTGGAGTTGATAAACACACACATGGGCTGGGAGGCTGGGACACCCCAACTCCATGGGAACAGAAGCTCCTGCTCTCAGGACCCTTTCGGACCTTACCTGAGTTCTAATGACCCAGTAAACTTAAATAAATGTTTCCTTGAGTTTTGCGAGTTTGGAACACATTATGGAACCCAAGGAGGTGGGGGTGGGGGTGAGGCACAGGAACCCTGATTGACAGTGGGTTGGCCAGAAGTATCAGAGGCCCAGACTTGTAATGGATGTCTACAGTGGGGAGCAGTCTTGTGGGACTGGGCCCATAACCTGCGGGGTCCATTTAGTCAGTCATAATTGAATTACAGGACGCCTCCAGTGTATGACACCCAGGAGTGAGCTGGAGGGTTGCCTGGTGTGGGGAAACTCCTACACATTTGTTACCAGAAGTGTTAAGAGTAGAAAGTAAAGCAACAAGGGGGTTTCTTTTAAGCACGCTCCACAATTTTTCTTCTCAGGAAAAATCCTATGAAAAATCTCCATAAATGTCAACATCACTCCGGCCTGAATTTAGGGATCACCATTTTCGGCTTCCTCCTTCACTCTTTATCGAAATAATATTGCCAGTACTTTGCAAGTGACAAGTCAGGACCTCCCAGGGTGCTCGAGAAGTCAGGAACAGACCTAAAATGAGCCATTACATTTCCAAGCCTAGCCATCTGGCCGGGGGACCTAACAGAAGCACTAGAGGACTGAGAAAGTAAAACTCATCAATTTGCTACAGGACAAGCAGACATACTGTCATTTGGTTTAGTTAAACTTCATCTGTTAAAGAACAGATACTCTGAAATTTAGTATCTCATAAAGAAAACTAATTCTATCTATTAAAAACTACTTTGGCAACTGACAAGACGCTGTGCCTACTTTTCACTACAAAGACGAGAACATTTAAAACTAAAGCGACATTTACCTGGGAAATCTTGAGTGGCTCTATAAATCATTTACATTTTATTTAAAAGCCACTTTCCAAGTTGGATTTTTTAAATTTAGAAATGTAAATTTTTACCTAAAAAATAACTGGAGATAGATATTACATACATATTTATAAGTATGCTTTCAGAAAGCATGAACCCAGATGTTTCCTCTGCTCTAAAGTTTGCGATCGTTTCATAACCAGCACCAAGTCATGATCAATAAAATTTTTTCTTTGAAACAATTAGCATAATAACATCAGATACACAGTGTAGAAACAATGGCATTTAAATCTGGATTTAAAGAAAAATACTGTTAAACATTATCAAATAGTAAGTAAAAAAGATGGTAACATATACAGTTTCATTATCCCTTAATAAATTTTAATTTAGAAAAACAAAATCTGGGTGAGAATATATTAAAACCATTATTTACATAAAGTAAACTCACAGGCATCTGCAATATTTCTGACTCAGCTAGAAGAATAATGATTAATACCGACTGAGCATTTACTATATGTTAAGCAGTATAACTTAGTGATATACATATGCAATCTCGTTCAATCCTGGTAACACTATGATGTAGGTACTTTATTACCGTTTAATTGAGGAAGCTAAATCAAACTTTCTTGCTGGAATATAAAAAAATAATTCTTCATAGGCTACCAAAAGAATTCTTTTTGGTTACGAATTCTTCACAGGGTTTACCATAGTAAACCCAGCTGCACGTGTGTCTGCAGCAGTCATGTTCGACTCTGCAGCCCCATGGACTGCAGCCCACCAGGCTCCTCTGTCCATGGGGATTCTCCAGGCAAGAATACTGGAGTTGGTTGCCATGCCCTCCTCCAGGGGATCTCCCCAACCCAGGGATCAAACCTGTGTCTCTTATGTCTCCTGCATTGGCAAGCGGGTTCTTTACCACTAGTGCCACCTGGGAAGCCCATATACATACATATACATCTAAAAATTCAGACTCTGCATTAAGTGAAATTCAATACTTATGCAGGACAAAAATAGCAATAATAATTACTCAGCAAAATATAATTAAGAAGAAACTTAAAAACAAAAAATAATATTTAACAGTAAAACTTTAGAACATTTTCTTTATAGTCAGGAATAAGATGAAAACACCCATTTTCATTGCAAGTTTTACTATGCCTGGTCAGTGCACTAAGAAAGTGCTATCACACTGAGACGACCCTGAGGGATGGGATGGGGAGGGAGGTGGGAGGGGGTTCAGGATGGGGAACACGTGTACACCCATGGCTGATTCGTGTCAATGTATGGCAAAAACCACCACAATACTGTAAAGTAATTAGCCTCCAATTAAAATTTTTTAAAAAAGAAAGTGCTACCACATGTGGAAAGGAAGAAACAAAACTGCTAATATTTACAGATATTACTGCCTGCAGAGGAAATGCAGGAGAACCAATGACACAGAAGGAACAAGAAAACAAGCTCAACCCAGTGCTCGGTAACAACCGAGAGGGGTGGGACGCGGAGGGAGCTGGGGATTGGAGGGAGGTTCAAGAGGAAGGGGATATGTGTATACTTGTTACTGATTCACATCGTTGTGTGGCAGAAACCGACACAACATTGTAAAGCAATTATCCTCGAAAGAACTTTTTTTTTAAAAAATTGGATAAAAAATATAAATACAAAATACAAGGCTGTTGGACATGTGATCACCAATCAAAAGTCAAGACTATTCCAATATACCAGTAAGCAATTAGAAAATCCAATTTACATATGGTATTAGAATCATTAAAATACCCATGAAAAATATAATGGTTAGTTTGGTCACAGATATTTTTTAAACTCATCAATATGCATGGTCAACAAATTTAACAATCCTCTCCAAGGTATGTGGCCTAGAGACACTCTCTCACATGTAAACCAGAAGACAAGCTAAAGGATATTCATCTCATTCTTTCTAACCACACACACACACAAATATGGAACAGTCTAGCTATACATCAATATGGATTGGACAAATTGTTGGATATTCATACAATTAAATCTGTATATGTCAATTTGGATTATCTTAAAAACAGAATGCTGAGAGGGAAAAGCAGGTTGTTCAGGGATATTTATAATATGACAACACTTACATAAAAAGTAAAACCCGTAGCACAGTATTCTGTATTATTTATGGAAAAATAAGTTTTTAATAAATATATAGAAACAAGGAATCAAGCTTCTGATTACCCCAGGAAAGGAAAAAGGAGAATCAGAGCATGGAACTGGTTAAGTATCAGAGATGCTTCAACTTTACCTCTAGTTTTATTTCTTTAATGAAAAAGCATATAAATATTAAAAAATTACTAAATTATATTGAATCTATGTGTAAAACACATAAATATCCAGTCATAATATTTTGTGTTTCAAAATACCTTATATTTTTAAAAATACATGTTTTTTAAAGTATCCCATGCAAATATTTTAACAATAATGAAAAGGCCATACCCCATGTACATATCTCTTCATAAAACTACAAAGGGAGTTTGCCTCCCTTTCATCTGTTACTAAACATCATTTTAAGCCACATGTTATTATATGTTGTTAAGGATTAGAAACTATTGTCAGAAGAAGTGTAAAAAGTAGCGTATGCTACAGGACAAGTAGCAAGAATTGAATAAAGATGCCATGAAGATTAAGAAAGGTCCAAATGGCATAAAATCAAAAAGAGGTTTTCAATAGTACTAAAAAAAAACATTTACCTAAGTATTAAATGAGAAGCCAAAGACATTACTGTCAAGAGGAAAAAAAAAAAGTAGGTATAGAAAAAGCTGCTACTTGCATTTTAAATTGGGGGCACTTACAGAATATGATATAGGGTGCATGTCAACAATATGATTTATTACTCAGATTATAATAAATATTAAATTTTTCCCTGGAAGTAAAAACTTTAATTATTAATATCCCAAGAAGCCCCCAGAGCAACATACCTGGAGAAGGAGCCTTTCGAAAGCCAGAAAGTTGTCCCACTTGGCCGCCTGTGGGTGTCTCAGAGTTTGAACAGTGGCCAGCCCAAGCTGTAGGAGCCCACAGTGATTCCCCAGGGATTTGCGGTTGTTCTTGAAGAGCTGAATATAGGACATGAGCTGCCCCGGAGTGACTCTCCCTGGAAAAACATACAATTTATCAGTGTACCCTCTTCTGGGAGCAGTGAAAATAAAGAGGAGCGCGCCATTAATACTACTACTGCCTTGCTGTTGCCGTTGTTCAGTTGCTCGGTCATGTCCGACTCTTGTGACCCACGGACTGCAGCATGCCAGCCTCCCTGTTCTTCACCATCTCCCGTCAGCACAAAACTTCAGAGTCAACTGCAAGCTTCCCTAAGCTTTTGTGACCCTTAAAACAACACGGTGACAACAGCAAGGCTGAAACTACCAACTGCATTTTGCAAGCAAGAAAACAGATGTTAAGTGGTCTTGCCAAAGCCATATTGCTAGTAGGATTCATTTCATAACTCTGCAATACCCCATAAATGAGTTCTCAAATAAAGTCTTATGAATAAATATTTCTTGAGCTCAACAGGGAGTACATCTCCAAGACATATGATATAGCAATCTAAGAGCCAAAAAGGCAAGGTTTCCGATTGTGTGTGTTATGTATATAAAGCAAAGGAGAAATCTGTTAGGACTATAGCTAAAACTTTATCACTGATATCAATGGGTTTATGACAATATCCTTGAGCATAAAAGCAGACTGTTGTTGGAACAAAAATGTATGGAGAACCAGAGTGGAAAAAACCCTGGAAGATGAGATATCAAAAGAAAGGGTTTCGTATGGTTGACAACACATTTACAACCATGGTCACCTAGATCTAGAACAAGACTCTCACCTCATTAAAGACTGGAGTACCAAAAACACAAACAAACCCTGTTGAAGAGTCAGTCTTTCAGACCTCTAAGTCCAACGTTTTCCTAAACAGCACTCCTTCCATTTAGTCACTTTCCATTCTATTATGTCAGATCTCATTCCTGCCCTTCATCAATGCAATGGGCAGAACTCCAGAACACCAGAGTTTCTCCTCACTGGGCAAGAAGAGCGCAACGGAGCCAAACACAGATGCAAGGCCAGTAAATCCGTCCTGTACATTTCAGCCGCACTGTCTTCCCGGTTTACTAACTCTGATGCCTAAAATCCAGGTTTGCTTGCTATGACTAGGTTTGTTAATATTTGGCAACAAAACTACCTGCATTTATTTAGCACATGCCCTCTTCTGATTTTCACAGCAACTCTATGGGGTAGCAAACAAGTGAGAATTCAGTCAATTAGTGGTTTTGCTACAGATCATAATACACAAAAAAATAAAGACCTTGTCACAAGAAACTTACAAGACTGTAATAAATTCTACCTTTGTATTGCATATTTTGAAGAGATTAAGGATTCTAAAGTGCCTTATTACCCACTTATATGGGGCTTTCCTGATAGCTCAGTTGGTAAAGAATCTGCCTGTGATGCAGGAGACCCTGGTTCAATTCCTGGATTGGGAAGTTCCGCTGGAGAAGGGACAGGCTACCCACTCCAGAATTCTTGGGCTTCCCTTGTGGCTCAGCTGGTAAAGAACTTACCTTCAATGAGGGAGACCTGGGTTTGATCCCTGGGTTGTGAAGATCCCCTGGAGAAAGGAAAGGCTATCCACTCCAGTATTCTGGCCTGGAGATTTCTATGGACTTGTATAGTCCATGGGGTCACAAAGAGTCAGACATGACTAAGCAACTTTCATTTTCAAACAATAAGAACAGTTGGGGGGGGGCGGGGGAAACAGTGGAAATGAATAGTACAGAGCTGAGTCTCACTAGTTTCTTTGGTCCCTTGGTAAAGCATAGTTCATTCCTGATTCTCAAGCAGCAAGCTAATAATTTGCTAGCTTAAGTACTAACAGAGAAGAGCCTCATTAATCCCTTCTTTGCTGGGTTTTAAGTTGGCTTGATTAAGGTATAATTTACATACAGTAAAATTCACTCTTTTCTGGTTCAGGGTGTTCTCAAAATAGTTCTATGAATTTTGACAAAAACACAGTCACAATCAAGATAGATTATTTCCTTTGCTCCCAGAAGTTCCCCTTTTGTAGTCAGTTCTCTTTTCCCTTCCCCAGTCCTTGGTGAACACTTGTCTGTGTTTTTCTGGTTTCTGTCCCATAGTTATTCCTTTCCAGAATGTTCTATAAATGGAATCATGTAGCACATAGCCTTTTGAGTCTAGCTTCTTTTACTTGAGCATAAGGTATTTGGTGCTCATTCATGTTGTTGCTTCTATCAGTAGTTTGCTCTATTTTCTTGTTGAGTAGTAATCTGTTGTATGAACCATAGTTTGTTTAAATTCATCCATTCACCAGTTTATGATCATTTGGGTTGTTTCCAATTTTTAGAAATTATGAATAAAAACTTCACAAACATCTTCAAATAGTATTTTATGTGCGTATGTGTCTGTGGACATACAATTTTGGTTTTTTCATAAGTAAATTTCTAGGGTTACTGGGTCATATGCTAAATGTATGCTTAACTTTACAAGCAACTAACAAACTAATTTCCAAAGTGAGCTGTCCTACTAGTGACAAATGAGAGAGTTCTGTTGCCTCACATCCACAATAGCCTTGGTATTGCCATGTATTTTGGTTTTAGCCACTCTAATAGGTTATCCAGCAACATTTTACTGGGGTTTTAATTTGGATTTTTTAATGACTAGTAATGTTGTTCATCTTTTCATGTGCCTATTTGCCACCCTATATCTTTTTTGGTGAAGTGTCAGTTCAATTCCTTCGCTCATTTTTATTGTTTGCTTTCTTACTATTGAGTTAAGAGTGTCATTAACTTTTATTAATCCATTGATTCAACACATGTTTTTGTGCTAGGGACTGTTCTTACTGCTAAGCATAAGCTCATGAACAAATCAGAGAAAAGTCTGTCCTCATGGCCAACAAATAAAGAAGACAAATGACTCCTGGAATGATCTCCTAATTAATCCAGCTCATTACATGTCACTCTCTTAGGGGATGGAATCTTTTGTGCAGAGGATGAAAATTTTTACACAAGAACATCTTCTGACACATTAAATACATGAAAACAAATTTTCACGTGAGATGGGTTCATATCTGAAACTGCAGTGAGCGCCATTTATCTCTTTAAACACGGTGCTGCAGTTGATGGCAGTGCAGGCCCTGGACACACAAGGCTCTGCTGACCAAGAGAGACAGTCACAGAACAGTCACATGAACAATCACTCAATCACTACTGTGACAAGGACTGCTAAGGCAACAGCTAAAAAGTCTTGAAACTGTGAAAGGGTCTATGTGGTACGTAACTGCCTACCTCTCCAACCCTATCTCCAGGACCTGAAGGAGAAGAAATTAAAAAGGCTCAGAATACACACAATCCATTCATAACATAACTGCCCTTTAGAGAGACCTTAAAAAATGGAAATTATCAGAGAAAGTCATCAGGTCTGTTTAGATTTCAACTGCAATAACCATATGTTCAACTTAATGATAAGAATGTCTTCAGTTCAAAAATATAGTTAAAGTTTATTCAGTTAGCATCTTCCAATCTCAGACTTGGACTCAACAACCATATTTACACAACGCCACCTTCCAACATAAAGCATGAGATCTAAAGGAACAAATGGCTATATTTCATAACAGGAAATGCCAACAGAATACTACTTTGTGAATTAGTGATTATTCACCCTTGCTGCTCTAGTCTCTTTCCCTGCATATCTTCTTACACACACAAGCCACTAACACTTCTTATACGTGTCATGAAAGCAGGGGGTTTTCGGTAAAAATCCAAAACATGGTAATTTAAATTTATTAAAAGAGTACTTTGCACAAATGCTTTAAAATATAGACTAGTGACATTTTTAAATATAAGTTTAATCAGAATCCTACATAAAACAAGTCAAAATTAACTAATTGACTATTAAAAATGTTATATAATAAGACTAATTAACTTGAGAGAACTTCCCAGTTCATCTCAACTAAGACTGCAAGCAACTCGGACCAGGTGATGAAAAAGTAATAGACAGAACATTTATTCATATCTCATATTACCAAAAAAAAAAAAATTCTCAGATAGATTTACATAGTGATTTAAAAATGTCAACCCAAGAAGGCTTGCCAACACATTTTTTTTCAGTCATAAAAACAAGGGTTATTTTTATATCAAGACATAATACATAGCAACTCTGTGAAAAGGGGCAATTTTGAAATTTGAAAACTAGTTTTCAAGTAAGAAAATCTACTATGCTTTGTTTTTTTTTTTTTATAGTTTTTCAGAAAGAGAAACAGGCTTCTGATTTTTAGTTAAGAAAAAAACAGAAAACTTTAACAACATTAATTCTAAGTATATTTTGAAATAGTAAAATAGAATTATTGCTTGGGAGAAAGGGGACAGATTTAGAAAATAAAATGATTTAATATTTTAATATTGTCTATGATCCTTATAATATTTAATTCCATTAGGAGGAGAAGGGGACGGCAGAGGATGAGACGGTTGGATGGCATCACCGACTCAACGGACATGAGTTTAAGTAAACTCCAGGAGTTGGTGATGGACAGGGAGGCCTGGCATGCTGTGGTTCATGGGGTTGCAAAGAATCGTACATGACTGAGTGACTTAACTGAACTGAACCTTCTGAACCTGTTTTGTGGCTTGGTAAGATATATTTAAAATATTTACACATATGTGATTTTTTGTTGATTTTCTTAACAACAACAAAAAAGAGCAGTGTGTCAGTGCTAGATTTGACTTAATCCCTCAAAGTGTGTCTTAATGGTAGAAAGCGACCATCAGAAATTTTGTCTAAAATAGTATATTTAGCTACTAAATGTTTTCTTTAAAAAAAACTCTATAACAAATAATAATACTGTCATGCATGTTTTTTATTCATCATTGTCATGAAACTGTGAATGAAAACCCAGTATGTGAAATTTGAATAAACAAAGTTATGTCTTAAGCCATGTATTCCCAGAATTCAAATATCAGCATTTCATTTGTCTCCTTTTTAATTATTTTTCTAATATAATAAAGGCAAATCATATTAAAATAATTAAATATAACATGTTCTGCTAAAACTGTGGTTTATTAACCAACACACAACTGGCAAACAGGAATACTT